TTCTTTTTCATCTTTGCCTTCTTCCTGAGTTGGTGTAGACAAATTATTTTTACTGACATCCTTCTTTTGATAGCCTTCAGATTCCTCTTCTTGTGTGGGAATTTGAGCATTAGGTTTTTCATCAGGCACTTGACTCTGTTCTTGTGCTGGTACTGCATGCAATTTAGAATTGGACCCTTTCCTGAGAGTTTCATGAACTGGATTAGCACTTGTCTTACAGTTACGTTTTTGTTGATAGTCTTTAGAATCCTCTTCTTGTGTTGGAATTCGAGCATCAGGTTTTTCATCAAGCTCTGGACTGTGTTCTTGTATAGGTACTGCTTTCAATTCAGATTTTGGCTCTGGGAGAAAGCTTTCTCCAAATGTTACAGTACTTGCTGAATCTGAGAAAAAATTGAGGTATGAACTTTGGTAATAATCATGGGAGCAATAAAAATTACTTTAATCAGCATTTAAAAGAGAGGATGCTATTAAAAAGAGAGAAAACATAAAAAGCCTCGCAATCTTATGGAATTATGATCACTGCAGTCGATGAGAATTAAGTTTTGTTGTTTGGCTATTCTGATGGAGTGTGTTATCTTGCCCCCAGTTCCCCCAAAGAGTTCTTTGATCTTTCTGGAATTTGAAACCACATTTTCATGAGTTACATTATGATAGCTGTAATTGAGGCCTACAAAATTAGTGGTGTGATAATTAAATCAGACATGAGTTGATTTTAAAAAGCAAACCAAGAAACACACCTGATGATTGGTCTTCTGAGCTTTCTGTCTCAGGTGACAGAAACTTAAGGGGAATATTGAAAGAAAAATTTTTGATTTCATCAATAACATCCCATCTGGCTACGTTAGGATTCCTTAACCAACCAAGGAGATCATTCACATTCTTTTTGAGTTGAATCATCTTGTCAATCAGTCCTTTCATTTTTCCATGGTCTTGAGCATTCTCTAATTGTCTTACATCATCAGCACTTAAATTCATTACACTGGCTATCCCCCGCCAGTCATGATGATTGGCATCTGATGGATCCATTAACTTCACAATCTGCAACTGGAGTTTGTAGGGGATGTCTTTGATAAGTGTATCTGGATGAAAGAAAAACAAAGAGCTGTGAACAAATCTATGCCAATTTTGAGAAAAAAATAAACCAACTAAATAAAAGTTCCTGTAATTTGTCATTGTCAAGCCAACCTAAATATTGTATTCCTCAAATGAATGCACATGCCTTAATAAGTGCCCTTCAGAAATAAGCACCCTCCCTGAATAAGCACCCATCCCATAGGCAAAAATGTCAAACATGAGCCCCCCCCCTGAAATAAGCACCCCCCCTCCTCCCTCACTTTCTTTAAAAATAAGGAAACAAGGAAAACCTGTTTCTATTGCCACTTTATTTATAACTTTTTAAGCTGCACTTACAGCAGAATCAGTACAAAGAGAAAGATAAGTTCCCCCCCTCAATTAAGCACCCTCTCTCCAACAAATGCACCCTCTACTTTTGCCAAAATTTTAGCATCAATTTACATCCTTTAGATGGTCAAGAGGAACACCCAGTGGGAAAAGCGATGATCATAGGATACTTCACTCCCACAGGGATTTATAAACTTTCCCTAAAAGTTCACCAGTATTCATTTACTTTCCAAGATTGAGTGAGGCAATACTTAAGTTACCTGTCCAAGAACATGTCACAATGGTTCACACAACCAGGATTTAAATCCCTGTGTTATCTCATTAGCCAACACATTTCTCAGAATGTGGGAGAGAGAGTTCAAGATAAATAAATAAAGGGGGTAAGTTTATAAAGAAACTGTGGTGCTGTGTCAGTGGGAGAGTATACTGAGTTGATAATGTAAATTGGCCACTGTGAAGAGTTTAACCCTTTCACTCCCAAGATCTGATTAGTAATTCTCCTTACTATCTGCCATACAATTCTTATGATGTTAGTTCAGAGAATTTGGTATTGGATCAACTAATAATCCCATGATTGATATTCTTCTCTATTCTCATCACCTGCCTGCTTTATATTGTATTTATATTGTAAGGAGAAATTCTGTCTTGGTCACTTGTGGGAGTGAAAGGGTTAAAAGCTGACATTTCAAGTGTTAGCCCTTTGTCAGAGCAATTGGAGGAATTGTGGGCTGTGTGTATTTTTATGCATAATAAGATACATGAAAAAATTACTCAGTTCTGATTGGTTAAGATAAATGTAGTTTCCAGGTAATCTTTTTTGCACCGTAAAGATGTGAAAATATTATTGTATATTTAATTGTTTTAATCGTATGTGGTTGTTTTGACCGAATGCACAATGTCACTTGCAGGGTTTGAATAAATTATTTTTGCACTTGATGTGCCCACTTTGCTTCTGCTTAATTATGATCAACTGTTTCATATTTTTTCATGTATATTATTAATACGTAATCACATGATTTTCCTCGTACAATTTGGAATAAATAAGCACCTGTAAATTTTTTCAAAGACCAGAAATTGCACTTGCTCTGCAAGCTCATGTAATTTTGTTAGTCTTTGAAAAAATTTACTCATGCTTATTTATTCCAATTGCACTTGAAATCATGTGATTACCTATACAAAAAAGGAGCTATGCTATAGCTATGCTATGCTATGCTTGTTATTAAATTCCTCTCAAATGGGAATTCATCAAAAATTTTCATCTAGACTTACCTAAACTGAGCACATTATTTTTCATATCAGCACTGGAGGACTGGTTGCTAGCAAAAGCTTGACCTTGGCCTTGGCCTTGGTATAAGTTTTTCAATCTACTGTCACTTTCTTGATGACTGAATTGTTCTGTAGATCCTGAGTCAAGAGAAGGTGGGTTCACCTCTCTTTTTTCTTCAGGTTGATCATCAAAGTTTACATCTTCAGACGGAGTATCAGGGCTTGCTGGTGTTGGCAGTCCTGGAGCTTTTGATGATAAAGAGTCAACAATAATTATTTGTCAGGATTTTCATGCTCATGTTGTTTCACCATATCAGTGAGTAATTTTCATTACTTTTCACCAACCCCTGACCCGAAGTAAAAAAAAGGACGGCCCATCACTTGATTGCTCTAAGACGTCAAATGTAAATGAGAAGTCTGTCCCTGAGACCATATAGTTTCTTCTCTCAGAGAGTAATTATGAGTCATGATGCTGACTCCCTTAGAAATTCCAGAGGGTATAACTGAGCTGCCTCTCTCACTCACTCACTGACTCACTCACTCTCTAATTCACTGACTGACTCATTAACTAATTTACTGACTCACTGACTTACTAATCGATTAACTGACTGACTCTCCAACACACTGACTGACTCATTGACTCACTGACTCACTGACTAACTGACTCACTAATTCACTGACTAACTCAATAACTGATTCATTGACTAACTGACTTATTAACTGACCACTTGACTGACTGACTGACTCCACCACTGACTGACTCATTAACTGATTCACTGACTAACTGACTTAGTAACAGACCGCTTGACTGACTGTCTTACTCACTGACTGACTCACTTACTGACCAATTGACTGACTGACTACCTCTCTCACCCACTCACTGACTGACTCACTCTCTAATTCACTGACTGACTCATTAACTGATTCACTGACTCACTGATTTATTAACTCACTGACTTACTAACTGATTAACTGACTGACTTATTGACTCACTGACTCACTGACTCACTAATTCACTGAGTAACTCATTAATTGATTCACTGACTAACTGACTTACTAACTGACCACTTGACTGACTGACTCATTGACCCACTAACCCATTGACTGACTAACTCACTAACTGACTGACTGACTCACTAGGTCAGTCTCTGGCTTACTCACTGACTCATTGACTAACTGACTCACCAACAGACTGACCAACTAACTTGTTTATTTAGATAAATTTTCTGTCATCACCAACATTTTACAAGTGCAGATGGTTTGTCATGACTGAGATACATACCCAAATGGGGCGATCTGATTGGTGCAAGGAACATACTACACTACACGCTAACATAGAGTAATTTTTTTTTGTGTGTGTGAAAAAAGAAATATTAACTGAAAACCAAAACCGTGGTAAACTTGTCGAGCATTTGTCGTAAAAGCTACGACCAGCGTGTAATTGAACTGAAATCAGTTAACTAGAAAGGAAAAAATTTTCTTTTGTTGTAAAACTCGGGGATTCTATAATTCTCAAACGACTAAGGATAAATCCTGGAAATTGGAGGTGGGATACTTTGGCAAATTATGCTTTGTAACTCCGATAAATTTTTAAGCGAATTAAATGAGGCGAAAACAGCTCACTGACCTTGTTCTCCACGAAGTTCTCTCTCTGCTTCTAAGAGTTCGTCTGCTAAGTGATTCAAACGATTGTCTGGACTTTTCAGAACTGTTAAAAACTTATCAAAAGCTTTCGGTCCTCTCTTCTCCAACAAACTTAACAATGTTTGTGACGCGTGAATGGAACCCAATCTGCTTTCCGTAGCCTTTATTTCCTCTCTATCTGAAGGGCAGAAAACTGAGCCGAGTTGTGCGGCAATCAGTGTTGGGCTGGTAATGCTATTCATGATAACAGCTGTCTTGCTAGCCAACACTTTCTTGTGGATTGCATCCATGTTAGGCCTATACCAGTACAGAGAAGATTTCTACAATTACCCAAATGGTATCGATCGATCCGTCCTCAGCCCACGCAGTCAAGAAAACTAAGCAAGCACCTAGCCCACACACTGGTAGAAATAGCACTTTAAAAATCGTCAAAAGCCGAAAATAAATCAAGGGATTTCTCCCATTCAAACACAATTCCTGTAAAGTTAAAACTTCCGGTTGCTTTTCCAAGAATCGCGGGAAATCGTTCGTTCGGAGGATTGATTTTGCCTGCTTCCTATGGGCTTATTATTGGTTCATTTTTTTCCGGGTCAGTTCGTAACACATTCGGAGTAATTTTCGCTTTCCGATGGTAGTTACTAGTTTTCAGTCCTCTCGCCTCTGAATTTTACTTGCAAACGAGTCAATCAAATTTGCTAAGTGAAATATAAGCTTCACTTATATTTTGGACGGATACCACAGTTTCTATTGCTGTAATTGCGGAAATTTCGGCAGTGGTAGTACCTTGTTTGTGCAAAGCTGAAACCAAAACTGATGTGCGTGGGTTTTGACGTATTGAAGTGACATCTTTGCGCGGTATATTGCGCTCGAAAGTTGGAAAACATGGAAATGCTTCCTTGGAAGTCGAATGTCTGAAGTTCACTTTTATCGTATTCAAGGTTCATTAGTGGTTGGTGTATCTTTTTGAGTAAATCAAACTCTCTTTACTTCATCCCATTTATACATCAAAATCGGACGTTATATATATATTGTCGATATTATTCTGTGGAAATGCTATGTCATTATGGCGCCTGTATCTTCAATAACATGAGAGATGTCTTCGTTTACAAAACTCTGAAGTGAGATTTTATTTCTTCGCTGCGGTTTTAAACACTCACCCTAACTCTCGATATGGGAGATGGAACTGTAGAAGCCGTATTTCCTTATTCTTACCAAGCTGGCGATGGAAGAGTCATCGAATTTGAAACAGGAGATCGGTTTACATTGCTCAACAAGACCAACGTCGATTGGTGGCAAGTTACGAGGAAGGATACTACTGAGGAAAAACCTATGTACGTTCCCGCGTCTTATATGAAAGAAATTACCCCAGGAAGAAGAGATCCGATTTACGAAAACGTGGAAAAGTTTGATCATCATGAGACTTGTAATGGAGCAGGTAGCAGAGAGAATGTCTCGACGAGCGATATGCGTAGTTGCCATTCGATCACAGGGAACTCACAAGTTTCAAACGATGCCAATTGTTCCGATTATCCAGCTTGCAACAACGGAACTGGAGACGAAAATGCAAGTAACGCCTCTAGAGTTTTAAACGATTTTAATGGTGTTACAAATGGTTCTTCAAGGGTCAACCCATCGGCAAAATCTCTGGAATCGGTGAGTGTATGCATGCAGCCAGCTCTAAGTCGTTTATAATATTATCTTGTTAATCGCGAAGCAATTTTCTCTAATTGTCATCTCATCAGCGAAAACGAGAGTAAGCACTCTTTAGGAATACAAGAGTACTCCGTAATTTTTTTTTTTTGGATGGCATGATAAATCGTGTTGCATAGTTCATTAAATCTAGTCAGAGTTAATTCTCTGTTGTTGAGAGAAACTTAAATTAGATCAAGTTTTCTTTTTCGGGGAAAGAAACAAGTGATTGTTTACAATAAACAATATGAAAACAAAGTAAGAACCATCGTGATAACTGATCACAGTACTACTGGTTACATTTGCCTTTGGCAAGAAAGTTTCGGATATCAAAGGAAAAAAACGCTTTTTGTATACTTTGTCGTGAGGGATTTTTAAAGATAGTGGTCACCCATAACTTTCATCATTTGTGAGAAAAAACATGCATCCATCTAGAACCTTCTTACCGATGAGGAGTTATTTCAAACCGTGCTTATCATGGTTACGAACAAGAATTAGCACAAACGAGAGCTTTCCATCTTTTACAGTCAAACAACGAAAAGAAAACTTTTCATCCGCTTGGTAAATGATGTTGTGGGTCCTGTGGGTGCCTTGTAGGCCCTTTAATTGAGAAGGAAGTATTCACAGATAATTTTATCTCCTTAGCTATGTCTTACATTAATATGATTCATAAGTGTTTTCTGAAGTTAGTGGTTTGCAAACTGGATACTTTTGACACATAAGCCATGTACTAGGTTATAAAAAAGTTTGTTTGTGTGTTTGTTTCTGATTTTGCAGTTTATTATCTGATTTCAACTTGTCTTTGATCTGTATTTTAAAATTGAAACTTTTTAATTTGATTTCAAGGTTAGTTTTGTTCCCAAAATTATTATTGACACTTTTTTGCTCTTCGTGCAAAGTTGAGAAGTTGTAAGTTGGATTCAAAGTGTTCTGTTTATACCTCTTGTGATTTTTTTTTGCTGTTAGTAGTAACTTAAATAAGCAGCAATGTAAAATTTTTACTTAAGTTTTTGTATTAATTTTGATTCAAGCACATTACTGTGAAAGTTCCAAGATTTTGTTTGCTTAGAAGTGAACTGAAAACAAATTGCTCCAAGAAAGTGAAAGTTAAACTTGCTCCATCAGAAAATATTTTTATACATTTAGGTTACTATTTTAGTTGTTGTTTTTGCACTGAATAGAGAGAGATGTGGTGGCCATTACCTAGCATCTTTCATTCTCTGGCTAGTTATCTGTGATTTGAATTTTTTTTTTTAATCCTAGCTTAATCATGAGCCCAGGGCTACCTGTTGGCTTTCATCCAGGTTTCATCTGCCTAAAATTATGTTAAGGTTGCCAGAAACAAAATTTTCTTTGACAGGAAAAAGGAAATATATATTTTTTTGTAACATAGTAGAATGTTTTTACTATGATAGCCAGGCTGAAAACAAGTTACCAAAATGGTGATTTGGCCTTCAAATTTAATTGCCAAAATTCTCCCACTCACCATGAGGACCAAAATGGTAGGAGCCTGAAACACTGTGGACTGTATCATCTATTATTATACTACTATTATTATACTACATTCCTGTTTCAGTGTTCATTTGGTCTTGTATTGTGGGTAATAAATGTACTGTACAGAGTAACAGGGTATTGGCCTTCTTGATATCTTTTAATTCTTGACGAAATAAATTATTTTCAGTATGTATTTCGACAGAAAGTTGTGAAAACTGCCCACAGTTGTATATCATGCTTTTGCACTTTTTGCTGGCTTTGTTGCTTTGTAAACCCCTTCACTAACAGAAATGATGATAAATGAACTTTTTCCTAAAATATTGATAACTTCCCAAACAAAATGGTGACGAGAAGAAAGAAAAATTTCCACCCAAGGAAATTAGTTTATTATGGATTGAAAAAAATTTCAGGGAAAAATGATAAGAAATGCAGGAAAGTTAGTACAGCAAATTAAGTCCAAGATTTTTGGGGTAATTAATATTATCTTGATCTAAGCAAGTCCATGTTCTGTACTTAACATTACAAACCAGGTTTTTCCTGCCAGTTTTTTCTGCTTGCATTTTTGGCCCAAGCACATACTACTGAGAGATATAACAAGGTTAATTTAACTATTATGCCAAGAAACTGTTGGAAAATGAGCTTAATCTGCATCTGTAACTGATTCAACTGTGATTGTTTTTTAGTCTGGAAACTTCTCATCACCTAGAAAAGAGAGACCTAAATCGCAGTCACTACCCACAGGTTGGGTTCAAGTAACTGATGAAGCAAGTGGTAGATTGTGTTATTACAACACACATACTGAGGAAAGAAGCTGGAAACCACCAAGGATATCACAATCCAGGACTCCCCCACCAAATGGGGTAAATGCTTTACTTGAGGTCTTTTCAGTGAAGGATGGTGTAGAGCAGTTTGATAAAGGAGAAAGACAGCTTAATGGCTAGTTTTCTGGATAATGGATTGATAGAAGGAGTATGTTTCTTAAAAAAAAAGTGGAGTTGTTTTGGTGGAGGGTATTAGAAGATACAGATTTCATTTTTTTAAAGGTGTACAAATGGAAAAGTTCTCATGAAAGGGACTTTACACAACCTTGGGTAACTGTTTTTTGTTGTTGTTATTGTTGTTTAAAACAGTGGCAGACACCACCATTAGGATGGCGAATCTCACGCAGTGGTTCAACTGATGAATTGGTGTATGTCAATGATTTCAATGATGAAGAGGTTTGTATTTTTAGCAGGCAGTTTTCATAATGAATAAAAGCATTTCATGTGATTATAAGGGGAATTCCTCTCATAGATGCCAAATTAATGTGCTGTTTGTTCAACAGTTGGCATCCAGTAGCTTTTGTTTACGTTTTCCCAACTGTTTTGCTAATGTCATGCTCTGTGGGTGAGCACTTTTACATTATTAATGTTTTTGTGGTGGAACGCAAAGTAAAAGTATGGCAAGAAATGACAATGGCTTGAATAACTTGTTCAAATGCATTTTATACTATTATGTCAGAATACACATAGATGCAAGACTCATGTATGGTACTACCCCATATCTTTGAGCTGCATTGTAGTTGTATCATTAGCTCTTGACTTTGGCAGATCCTGCAATTTTTAAAGCAACATCACAATGGACCCAAACTGAGAAACTTTTTACCAAAAGAGCTCACAACATTCAGTATTTTTAACTCCTGATAATTGTGATACTCTAAACAATATTTTTATAAGAAAGCAATGTAACATACTCCAGTTACAGTGACTAAAAGATAACTTGCAGTTCTTTGTTTAATTTTAAAGTGGATGCCTTCAAAAGATGAGGAAGGAAGAGATTATTATTACCTCGTCAATGGAAACACTGCACGTACATCTTGGGAACTTCCTGAGGTACTTAATTAATCTTAACACTTTTTTAAGGTTAGGGGCTTTGAAAAGAAAAAAAAGACAGGGTCTTTATAAGCACAGAAACTTTTTATGCAAAGATGGTAGCCAGATAGGGAGGGAAACAGCTTCTTGTAGGCTTTGATATCAAAAGAGGTATCTACTGTAAAGCTGTTGTGATAGAACAGTGAAATACTGACAAACTTCTGTGCCTGAAAAATTGCCTCCCTTTTGTACATATGTGTGTATATTTTCATTGGAAAGCATTTTTTTCACTTTTAGAATTGGGGTTTGGGAATTGCTCCAGTACTATGTCAAGATTTTTTTTCTGATTTATCTTTTTATTTACTTGAGAAAGGAATTACAAGGCAGTAGGGTTCTTTAAGCATTTAATATTGTGACATTAAATATGGACATAGTCAGTATTCACAGCTGTCCAGTAATCTGCTGAATGTCAGCTTTTCCCCTCTCTTTGATACGAAATTTGTTGTTGATCTTTATGTTGCATTTACTGAATTTTCATGCCAGGAAACTCTCTGATGTAGTCCCATATATCTCTTTGAGCCTCTTCCTTTTAGTAGACTAGACTGTTAAATGTAAGTTGTATTCACACCACTGGCTTTCTACAGCTTGAACCTGCCCGGCAGTCTTTTGAAGCACTGGATGTCACATACAGACGACGCTCACCAAATCTCAGTCTTAGAACCTCAAAGTGTCAGTCTCTGCTGACATCAAGCCCACGAAACTCTCAAGCAAATCTTACCTTTCCTCTCCCCTCTATGTCTGCTGCTGCTGTTCATGGCTTTCCCCCACCACCACCCTTGGTTGGTTCTGAGCTGCGTTCATCCCTCAAGGTGACAATATTGTGGCATCTGACATCACTATGGATGTTTGATTGTTTTAACGATTCACACAGTCACTAAAAATCATCATACTTCTGGTCATCTACCTGCTTATCTTTTTCCTTAATGCCTTCTAATTATTCCCTGTGAAAAATTCCTTAATTCCATTGTCTTTCACCTGGTTGTCATGTGCACTCAGTGGTTCTCAAATAATTCTTTATCATTCTAACAGACACACTTCATGCAGCCTCCATGTTTGGTGTGATCACCAATTTTTGTGAATTGATAACAAAACTATAACTATCTTACCACATCAGCTTAACCAAAAATGGTTTCTTATCAAAACTGTGCCAATTAACATTTTATCCTCCATTTATTGGTTTATTTATTTAGCTATTACATGGTAAGTCTGATATCATTAAGATATTACTTCCTCATTGTAAGATTTTCAAGTGGCCTATATAGATATCAGGACCCACATCTGGGTCTAATAGATAAAGTCAAGGCTTACTGGGAAACTCTCTTTAACCCTTTAACTCCCAGATCAAGTTTGTAATTCTCCTTACTGTCCACCATATAATTCTCATAATGTTAGTTCAGAGAATTTAGTATTGGATTGACTAATTATCCCCAAATTGATATTTCTCTTTATTCTCATCACCTATCTGGTTGATATTGTATTGATATTGTAAGGAGAAATTATGTCTTAGTCACACGTGGGAGTTAAAGGGTTAATATAGTGATTAAAGGAAAAGGGAAATCTTGTAGTCTGGTACTCCTGTTTTAAATATTGTGTTTTAGCCCCATTACTCAAATGAGAGCAAATGCAGCAGAAACTTGAAAAAGCTAAGACAAGTTGAAGATAATTAGTCAAAAAGTCAAACTATACGTGTTCGGGTTGTTTTTTAATTATAAAAATCTCTTCTTGTTTGTTGGTTTATTTTTGTCTTTGCTGTGCATTCCTTATCGTTAAATCAGAAACTCAGGAGACAAAAGATGAAAAGTGTGTAAAATCATGTGGCCTACTGTAGGAAAAGTCACTGCTTTTTTCCACTAAGTTATTCATGGGGAAATTTTTGTTGTAGCACTTATGAGTGATCAGCACTATTCACTGAGAAATTCTGTAGCATTAATCTTGAACTTGCATTTACAGAAACAAGAAGAGAATGTTTAGTTGCAGATAGTTATTTTATCAAATGTTTTCATTTTATTAAGTTTTTGAATCTTTGGTACATCAGTAGGTCCATGCTTCATGCAGTGTAAGATTATCCTTTTGTGAGAAAAAGCATTTACATATGCATCCATAAAAATCTAAAGATTTAGGATAATAATAACTTCTCAGGGTTTTTATTTTCTACGATCTTTTCAATTAGGTTGCCAAAAGATCTGCATCTGTACAGTCTCGAGAGAGTGTGTCCTCAGCAGATGAATGGCCAACACCTCCAACCCCTTCAACAGATTTTGTTGATTTTGTAAGTAATAACTTCAGTGTTTTGAATAATATGGTAGGCCAATAGTCCTGCATTGAAAATGAGATGATAAATTTCCATTTCAGTTAAGTAAGCTTGGACTATCTGATAATCAAAAGGTGTGAGAGTGATGAAGATTGTCTGATTTATGAAAAACACTCCTGACTGATAAAATAATAAATGATATCTCATAATCTGCTTCAAACATTGCAAAAGCCTTTTCCTACTCAAGGAAATACAGTATTGATTTGTTTAAAAGGGACACATGACTATTTCAGTTACAGAGATTTTTCTTCATTTGCCACCTACATCTTGTTTGGTTATTATCATTGAGGGAATTTATTTTCATTGCAAAGCAAAATTCCTATGAATGAAAACAAAGAGACCTTTGAAAACAAAAGTGATCTCAGCAGTAATAAACACTACTTGAGCAGTAGTGAAAATGAGGCCTGAAAAAAGTTCAGGATTCGAACCCATAACCTCTGCAATACCACTGCAACTCTACCAACTGAGTCAGAGCCAATTGGGAGCTGGTCATTATGTTGGTCGCAAGTAAACTTGGGAAGTGATAAATAAATGAATGTGAATATACGAAAATCATGTGAACTGCAGATAAAAAAGTGAATATGAACGTGATCTTCACAGTAGTAAACCCTACTAGCGTGGTAGTGAAATAAGGCCTGAAAAAAATCAGGCCTGTACAGGATTTGAATCCATGACCTCTGCAGAGCTGGTCATTGTGTTGGTCCCAAATAAACCCATGAAATGATGAATAAATCAATGAAAATATATGAAAATCATATTATGAATATGAAAGTGATCTTCAGAGTAATAAACACTACTTATTTATACCTATCCTGAAAACTGAGAAAGAAAAGTGCTTGGCTGGCACAAATATATATATTTTTTGCTTTTCTAGGATTTTTATGCTTTGAACACAAACCTCGAATACTGAACAATCATGCTGATGGACTTAGTCAGTTATTGCTGTTTTGAAACACATGTGTACTGTAGACTATTAATTTATGAAAGCCCACTTAACTCACACCTTGTATTAAGCAGACTCTAGTGTGAGTCCCTTTGATGACCCCTTCATTTTACTTGTGTATGTCATAATAGTCAAAGCCAAATAGAGTTACACAAGCCAGAGTAAAAACTATAAGTGATATCAATTCCATCTTTTGTTTGGTGATAGTTTCAGGCAATTGAAAAACAAGGGATGCTGAACTGCAAGAAATTAGTGGAAGGAGGTGGAAAGAAGGTCAAGTAAGTATGACCTAAATACAGAAATTTCGTAAAAAATTGGGTGTCAATTGTGCGATAGGTGGATTGCACTTAATATGTAAGATTAACATGTTATCTTGATTTCAATATTTCTTGTTTGCATAGAACTTGGTTTGAGCAAACTTTTTGTTTAGTTTTATCTCTCTGAAAGCCTTTATTGAAGAAACTACAGTCAGCATAGCTTTTAAACTGAATCTGGAATTTGATATCTTTGAGTCAGTTTATCAAACACTCAGTCCAGAATATTTTCATTTAAGGGCAGCTTGTACCAATATTGTAAAGAACAAGAACTTTCTGTGTGTTAGATATTTTATAAACCAGATAATGTGTTGGAAATTAATTATTTTTGAGAAGTAAGAAGGCATCTCTTTGTTACATACAGTGTAGTTCTTGGAAACACACCTCCTTATTTTGAGCTTGTTATCTGTATCCAAAAATGAGAAAGTTGTTACATTTCTTTTGCAGAAAGATGTCATGGACACCAACATTTGTAATACTCTTTTCAGCAAATTTGGTTTTTTACAAGGACCAGAAAG